AAGACAGGCGATGGAATTGGTCCAGGGACTGAACAAAGGCTCAATCTAAGTCCAGGAGAAGCTGAGCCAGCAAAGGAGACTCTGAGGGGAGTGAACACCAAGGTGGGCAAAAACCAAGAGAACAGTGTCTGGCAGTGGAAGGCAAGAGGAGAGGGTGTCTTACCGAGGCAACAGTTATCAGCTGTCAAATAGCGGTGAAAGGTTAAGTCAGGTGAGTTGACTACACGATTGATCAACTTAGAAGTCATGAGCTATCTCTATGGGGACAATTTGGGGGGGTGGGGAGGAACTGCAGAAGATGAATGCAAACCACTTTTTAGGGGAGTTTTGCCACAAAGGGAAGCAAAGAAGAGGTGGTGGCTGACAGGAAGTGGGTTGGGAACAAGAGAAGTTTTTGTTTTTAAATATGAGGAATAAGATGGTCAAATAGGAGGCATAATCCTGAGAATATAGTACAGAAAGGTGAGAATTGCTGTTTGTTGCCCTTGAGCAGGGACGAGGTGATGGGATCCCATGCCAGTTGGAGCTGACTTTAGGTACTGGCTGGGGAGACCGTCTGTGGGGACAGAAGGAAGGCAAAGACAGGAGCACCAGTGTGGCTGTGAGGAGTGCTCAGAGTCTGGGGATTCTGTCCTGCCTGCTTTAATTTGCTCAGGGAAGTAAGAAGTGAGATGCTCAGCATGGAGGGACCATGGGTGGGGGAGATTGGAGGTTTGAGGCAAGAGGAGGTGTGAAATAGTTATTCAGTTGAACTCTCTCCAAGCTTTTACATTTTCCTTTCTATTTTAATGCAATTAGTTTAATTGGTATCAATTCTGTAATTTTTTTTTTAAATGTTTTATTTATTTCTAGGAGAGAGAGAGAGAGACAGCGTGAGCAGGGGAGGGTTAGAGAGAGAGGGAGTCACAGACTGAAACAGGCTCCAGGCTCTGAGCTGGCAGTCAGCACAGAGCCCGACGCGGGGCTCGAACCCACGAACCGCGAGATCATGACCCGAGCGAAAGTCGGACGCTTAACCAACTACGCCACCCGGGCGCCCCTGTACATGCCATTTAAAAGGCAGTTCAAAATACGTATAGGAGGATTAGGAGGAACTTGACGGAGGACCAAGGGGGAGAAGAAGGGCGGAAATGGTGGGGGAAAGGGAGAGANGCACAGAGCCCGACGCGGGGCTCGAACCCACGAACCGCGAGATCATGACCCGAGCGAAAGTCGGACGCTTAACCAACTAGCCACCCGGGCGCCCCAATTCTGTAATTTTTTTAAAAGTTATTTATTTTGAGAGAGACAGAGACTGTACGAGTGGGGAAGGGCAGAGAGAGAGGAAGAGAGGGAGAATCCCAGCCAGGCTTTGCACAGTCAGTGCGGAGCCCAATGCGGGGCTTGAACTCATGAAACCCCAAGATTATAGCCTGAACTGAAACCAAGAGTCAGATGCCTAATTGACTGAGCCACCCAGGCGGCCCTCAGTTCTGTAAATTTTGTGAAGACAGTCTGAGTCATCTGCTTTTGGTCCTCATCACATTTTCCCTATTAGAACTGTTTCTATTGCAGAGTCCCTTTTGTGGCCATGATTTCCAGCGGGTCCAGCTTTACCAGGTCAAATTTTGCAAATCTAGATTTTGTCAAGATTTTGTTCTTTTGTCATTTTTTAAAAATCAATAGCCAATTTTCCTGTGAGCACTCTTAGCCATCATCTTCTCAAGCTTATTTTTTCTTGGGCCGGTTTTTGCAGAGGTTAGTAGTAGATGTGATCTTTAGTCCGTTCTTAATCTGTAAGATGCTTTTCCGACACCTGGCACAATTTTTACTATTATATTTTTTGCAGTAATATTAATTACAGACTGGATACATTATTAGTGGGGAAAAGCAGAGGACCTCAATGCCCTTTAATTAGGGTTAAAATGGTGTAGTAGAAACAATGGTGTTGAAATGTGGCACAGGGCAGGTTTCAGTAAGTGTTAGCTTCCTTTCTTTTTCCCTTTCATTTAAATAAAATTTTTAAAAATAGTTTATTTTTGATTTATTTTTGAGACAGAGAGAGACAGAGCATGAGCGGGGTTGGGGGTGGGTACAGAGAGAGGGAGACACAGAATCCGAAACAGGCACTTTTTTTTTTACAAATAGTTTATTGTCAAATTAGTTTCCACATAACACCCAGTGCTCATCCCCACAAGTGCCCTCCTCCATGCCCATCCTCCCCTCTCCACATCCATCAATCCTCAGTTTTTGTCAGCATTCAAGAGTCTCTCATGGTTTGCCTCTCTCCCTTTCCCCCACCATTTCCCCTTCTTCTCCCCCATGGTCCTCAGTTAAGTTCCTCCTAATCCTCCTATACGTGCAAACATATGATATTTGTCCTTCTCTGCCTGACTTATTTCGCTCAGCATAACACCCTCAAGGTCCATCCATGTTGCTACACATGGCCAGATCTCATTGTTTCTCATTGCCATGTAGTATTCCATGGTATAGATAAACCACATCTTCTTGATCCATTCGTCCACTGATGGACACTTAGGCTCTTTCCATGTTTTGGCTATTGTGGAGAGTGCTGCTATGAACATTGGGGTACATGTGCTCCTATGCCTCAGCATTTCTGTATCCCTTGGGTAAATTCCTAGCAGTGCTATTGCTGGGTCATAAGGGAGTTCTATTGTTAGTTTCCTGAGGAACCTCCACACTGTTTTCCAGAGGGGCTGCACCAGTTGACATTCCCACCAACAGTGTAGGAGGGTGCCCGTGTCTCCACATCCTCGCCAGCATCTAGAGTTCTCTGATTTGCTCCTTTTAGCCACTCTGACTGGCGTGAGGTGGTATCTCAGTGTGGTTTTGATTTGTATTTCCCTGATGAGGAGGGATGCTGAGCATCGCGAAACAGGCACTTTCAAAGACCTAGGGCTGGGAAGGGTGTACTGCTTGGCTTCCACCTTTCTAAACTCAGGTGAGCAAACTCAAGCAGGGGGCCTGCTAAGAATGAAATGGTTTAATTCCATAGAGCAAAATACTAAAATTTAATTATCAGTTTCCAAAGTTCTGATTCAGTAAGTTGATTACCAGGCAGCATTATTTATTATAAGGTGTATAAGTAAGGGAAAAAAATACATAGTCCTTGTGAGCCCTAAAGTACTGGACAGGTAAGGATTACTGTTAGGAGCCTTGTAAAGGAATGTGAAAAACACTTCAAACCTTGGTCTGCTTTTCATTTCACACACATGGAGTGAAGCAGCTGTTTGAGGAAATAGAATTCACCCTTAAAAAGGGGGTAAGAGACATAAAAAAGGTTTAAGAAATGCAAGGGGTTGGGAGAGGAGGCACAACTCAGCACTGGGTAGAATAACCGTGAAGTGGGAAAGGAGACACGGCTTGATTTGATAGAAGAGAAAATGAACTTCCAGCGGGTTAAGTGTTGGCTTATAGGAAGAGAACACAGTAGAGAGGGAGAAGGGGGTGCTCAGTCTCCCTGTGTAGCTCTCTTCAGACAAGCTATGGTTTCTGCATCGCCAGCCTGACCACTCAAGGACTTCATTAGTAAACATTCTGGAAACAGAAACTTCTGTCTCAGTGGCATCCTTTCTCTGCTTGAGGGCAAAGCCACCCTCTATGTGCTCTAGGAAGACCACCAACAATCTCCCGCTTTGTCAGGGCACCTCCTAAGGCCTCCCCAGCTCACAGTGCTCGCCATCCTGAGCTCCTTCCTCCTTGAACACACCAAGCTCATTCCTGCCTTGGTGTCTTGTGGTAGCTGTTGGCTCTGCTAAGATTGCTGTTCCCAAAGCCACCTGGTGGGCTTCTTGATGTTCAAAGTTCAGCCCAAACCTACGAGAAATCTTTCTTGACCATCTATACATAAAATGGAGTCCCTGGATTCTCTCATAATACCTTATTTGCCTTGTTCTTCTAGCACTTTTTGGCACATGACATTCTTATGTGTTAACATATTTGTTAATCCCTAACAGAAATCTAAGGTCTTCAAAGGCAAGTGTGATTTGCTTTACTTAACATTATCCTGCATTAGAACAGTACATGAGTGTAATAGAACCTCAAATATTTATTGGCTTATTAAAAAAAAAAAAAGAAAAAAACCCTAGAACTGAAACATGTTTTAATACTTTTATTCTAAAAAAAATCACAAAATCCAATTTCAGGTTAAATAATATTTTACTCTTAAAAAATTAACAAAGGAGGAAGATTTTAAAGTTTTGTTTTATATTTAAAAATGCATTCTTAATTTCCAGATAACTCATGCAACATCATATGTGGTGGTATTAATAAAAGACCTTTTTTACCCATAGTACAAATCAGATTATATATGATTTGAAGCAATTTTGATCCCCAAATCCCATTTTGAAAGATTTCTCAAAAGACCTTGAAGCCACAGACAAAGTTTATTGGAAAACATAGTTTAAAATTGCACAAATATAAATACAATTTAGTAATGTGAAAAAGGGAAGGCATGCTTCCAATAATAGTACAAAAATACTACCTTAATCTTGGTACTTTGCAAATTAGAAGCCAAAGAAGTAAATTAAACACATAGATATGATAAGAGGTTATTTTTATGGTAGTAGTTTTATTTCAAAGAGCAATGCAGGGAAATACTAAGATGAAGCCTTAATATCCAACAGAGTTGTGCTATGATACATAATATTTCACTAAATACGTAGATACATTATCACATAGTATGCCCATAACTTTTACACCCCCACCCCATTGCCATTAATTTACTATAGGTCACTTAACTTGGGTTGGTTTTAATTTAAAAACTCAATGTAAACATTTAAAGTTAAATTTTTGTTTGTTATCTGTCAGCTTAAAAATGAATCCCAAGATTTTAAACATTATTGAGGATAGAGAAGCATCACAGAAGAATTTGCCTCAGTACTTTTAGATTAGACTAGATATGCAATATTAGTAGATATACAAAATATGTAGAAATGTCTTTTCTAAATAGTTAATAAATGCTTGTTATAGTTTGTAAAAAGTTTACTAAGTTAATCAGGTTTTTTTTTTTTTTTTTAACCAATGTAAACAAATTTGGGCAATGAAAGTTGAAGAGAGTTTGAGTCAGGTGATAATGGGAGAAATTGAAAGGACCTTGGTAAAAATTTAGGTTTGCTTTATTTCCTTTAACTAGTGGCAACATTTCAATCGTGAACATTTCTCTCATTGCACAATTCTTTGTGGTATCTCTGCAAAATTTTTACACATTTCAGTGAAAATGCCAAACTACCTAGCTGAGTGTGTATGTATATCCCTTATTATTGTTTTGTCAGACCATTTTCCCTCTCCAAGATATTCAAAGAAAAGAAAGGACACACATTTTATTGTTGAGCGAAGAACTGTCCGCTGTTCCTGTTTTCATCTTCGCATCGTTTCTGAAAGTGTCTGGATGAGCCTGTGAGGGTTTGGCCTGCCCGCTCTGCAACACTGCAAGTTAGTTTTCTCTCATAGAGAAGGTCCTGAGAAGACAGTTCTGAGATTGGGGCACTGGCTTCTGGAGTGCGTTATTTTGGTATTTCTGCAGAGGTTGCAGGGAGCGGAAACTTTATTCAAGCCAAATTCCACATGTTAAACTTCCGTCTTTGAGCTTATGTGTGTGTTTGGCGTGTGTGAGATGGTGACAAAGCTGTTAGCAACATAAGACACCCCCCAACTTAGTCTTACTGAGCTTTGTTCCCCCCATTTCTGGTCTCCTTGCCCATATTTTTTCGTAAAGCAGGGGTTGCAGAAAAAGGCAGTGAGAAGACTTCCAAGTGTGTCCTGAGTGACCATGAAATCACCTCATTACCTCTGAATTTCAGTGTTTTTAGACATACTGACCAAGTCTAGTTTCTTAAGGGATGTGGGCCCAAGTAGCTCACTGACTTATATGAATAGGGCCATGTTGAGGACAAGGCTGTGACACCCCACACACTCCCTATGGAACATTTATGGAAATTAAGCCCCCATGTCCGCTTTGATGGTTTTCATGTGCCTGATATTACCCCAACTTCCCCACCTTATTTGGAAGGCCAGTATTTCTAATTTACTCCTAAATTTTAGAAAATATTTGAAATGCACTATTCAGAATTTTGAACCCAAAGCTACGTGGAGGCAGTCAACACAACTGCATTTAGTAGTGTTCAGACACATGGATTTTGTTTGAGTTTTGGATCTGTTGTGCCTCAACTGGTTTTCTAAAACTTGTTTAGATGTCTGAGTACCTGGATTCCTCAGTAGATTCATTTGGCACTGGCTGCAATGCTGCATAAGCCAGATGCGTGAGTATCTGTAAAGTTCAGTGTAGTGTGATAGCCTGGAAACAGTCTTGACAATAAGATATTAAAAGCAAATAGTAAAACTTTAACACATAGTTCATGAAAACGTTTCCTTGTTCAGAAGCAAGGAAAAATAAGCTACCCTATGAGATTAATCATGCACTGGGTAAATTTACATTCAGTACAGTTATCTTGCATGCTTTGGTTAATATTTGAGTAGGCAGATTTGAAAGTACTAATGCATGCGTTATTTTGTACCTGAGGTTATATGTTTTATTTTGTTAAAAATTGCCTTTTTACAAACCTTATGCCAGAGGTCATCTATGAACACTCTTTAAAAAAATATATATGTATCTACGTCTTAGTTCAAAACAGTTTAATTTCAACCAGTTCTATAAATACTGAGATGACAGGGAAACTGTGCAGTAAAATCTGGAGAGGGAATGAATTTGAAATTATTTTACAAAGTTGAAATCATGTGCGTGCATGTTTAATAATTTCTAAAAGATGAGGTCTAAAAAAAAATTGGTACACAAATTAAACCTTCAGAATACCCCCTTCATAGAATTCTTTCAGAATCATGTCAAGGTATAAAACAATAGCAACCACTAACTTAAAGTCCAGTCCAGTCCTGTGGGACTGATTCAGGGGCAAATGAAGAAGGGACTAAAAAATGACCATCTTGCTTTCTCTGTATTCCCAAAGAGCTCATGGATAAAGTATATGGGACAGATTTTGGGAGCTCCTGTTGTCTGTGGGACTAGCTATAGCTGTGTTGGAGTCTTGCTTGTATAGCAAGAATATACTAGAAAGATTTATCTAGTATGAGTATCTAGACATGGACCCAAGATTCAACATAATAGTTCTCTTTAAAGAAAAGGAGAAGAATGGCATAGGACTCAGAAGGTGAGTGTGTCCTGGACATTCCAACCCAGTGAAGTATCGCTAATCTGTCATTCTAGTTGAAATGCAGATTGGCTGAGAAAGCACAGCTCAGAGCTTTCTGTTAAAAGTTTCCTGGTGGACAAGATCTGCCTTTCTTTCAAGGTGTCATGGGGAATGACCGTAAGAGGAAACCTTATCCCTCTGCCTCATCCCCACTGTTAAGGAACAGTAGCACGTAGAAATAGCCCACTAGACATAGGTGTAACATATTTTGAAATTTAGCAGTGATCACTGCTTTCTCTGCATTTTCATCCAATCTACCAGTGAAATCAGTTCTTGAAAGAAACCCATGCAACTGAAGGGCCATTCTAGTAAAACAGTACCATCCTCTACGAGATCTTAGGCTTACTTACTTACTTAGTACTACTCTCAGAAAAAAGGAACTCAAAGCCTTCCCAGGGTGAGTCAGACAGGAACCAAGGACACCCTGACCTTTGAAACGGAAAGAATAATTTAAATGACAGTTTTATACCACCAGGGTAAGATACCAAAACCAGTTCTGCCTTAAAAAATGTATACAGTAAAGACTGAACTAAAATATTACTAAGTTTTAGTGGTGCTCTGATTTCTATAAACTTTCACTTATTTTTTAGTAACTGTTTTTACTTAATTTTACTTAAAAATATTATTGAAAAATGTCTTGGGCAATGATTCTGCACTTCCTGACAGGCAACAGGCTGAAAGTCTTGGTTCTGATGGACACTAGATACATTGAAGAAACGTCCTATTGAATGCTGTGCAAATTATCAAATTATGATGGGAATGGAAAATTGTCTACTCTCCTCTGAATTCACTTTGTATTCTGACAGCAAAATCAAACTTGGGCTGCAAAATTTGTCACCACTTAGCAACAATCAAATTAAATCAAAGTATCCTGCATTTACCCTACTGTCAGGCTTTAAACTATTAACTGATGTCATGCATGTAGTGCCAGCAAAGCTAAGAAAATAGCCTATTGTTATTATTGCAAATTCAGTTGCTGTTGAAAGTATAGAGTGACATCATAAACAGAAACCTGCAAAGCTGGCTTTGACTCCTGTATTCAGAGGCTCCTAATGAACTACGATGGATGCAAATCAGCTGGCCAGACAGTGAATGCATGGGAATTGGAAGGAGGAACATGCAGAGAATGGGTGTTCTTTATTGGGGATATTCAAGCAGGCAGCTGCCATGAACTTGGAGTCTGGCCCCGAGAGTCCTTCCTAGACTGGATTCTAGGATTCTAAAATTTTAGAGAATATTTCTTGAAAATATTGTTGAGCTTTATTTGCTGCTCAGACTGGAGGGAAGTAGGCAAAGACTGGGTTGCTACTGCTTCCCAATGGTGAATGCCTTAATGCTTCTGCCTCCTGCTGTCCAGCTCGGGGCATCACCTTTGCCCAAGTGAGTTTCAACAGTGAAGATGAAAGCCGGGCATACCACAGGGCTCTCAACTCTTTGTCCTTATAGACTCTTCAACTTTATAAACTCTCTGTTCTTATAACACATGTAAACCTTAAGGATTTGTGATTTCCTGTTTCCTCAAGACCCCTTCCTACCTGAGGAACTTCCAAGGTAATAGCAGAGAGGATTTCTATCTGCACCCCTGCCCCTCCCCCACCAGGAGAAGCTAACTCTCCAGTCAGTTAACCTGTCTTGACTCACATGCTGTTTGCTTGGTAACTATAATCGTGAGAGTAACCAGCAACCAAAGAACATGAAGAAAAAGTTGGGATCAGATTGCTTTGGGGAAGATTCTGGAGGAAGGAAGGAAGGAGAAAAGATAAAGAAGAATGGAACCACTTATTAGGATAACTTGCTAGAAATGGACATTGGTGATCTTACATTTTGGTTAGCATTTTGCAAATAATTTTTCTAATTCTTTAAAAAATGATGACAATCCAAATAATCACCAAGCCCCAACAGGCACAACACATCCTGAAGAAGTGAGTAGAATGTAATCAATGAAATAAAACATCACTACCGACAGAAGATTCCTGATACTTGATAATGTTCCAAATCAGAGCCAAAGGGGCATGCATCTTTCATATTAAACCGCTGACATTCAGTGAGATTCAGCTAGAAAATATTGATCTTCTATCACTTAGAATGCAAAAGGGTGAGCAATGCAGATTATTCTGGAACTAAGAAAACACTTAATTTTTAGGAAAAAATGTATTTATCATTCTTACGAAATACTATTTAAAATATTAACAGTTTAAAAGGAATATTGGTGTGCAGGGCAGGTAGAAAGCAAGTAAAGTATGACATTTAAGCAAGTTAATGTTAACTCTATAGAAATCCCATTATCATCAAAATTCCTCCCTGCAGAGAATGCATGAAGGGATGGTAGAATGTCTCTTGCTTAAGTTCATACGGTCCCAGAAAGTATGTGAAAGATCTGTGTCTGACATATTTACACCCTGTGTCATATCTGCTTTGAGAAAAACTCCTTCAAAACTCTACACTATGAAAAACTATTTTCAGGAATTTTTATTTGGTCCATTGATCTAACAAGGCCGAGTTCTCGAATCTTTCACCCCTAAGTTAAAAATTGGAGCAACGGAACAAAACTCCAGCAAGGCATAAATAAGATATTAAAGTGCATATATACAGTCCCAGAAAAGTTTTGATTGGGAACAGCAAAAATTTCTAGTGCAAAAACTGCTTTTGACAGCAAAGCTCCCTCTCTGGAGTCGAAGGGCTACAGTAAAAGTTAAAATCAGAACAGGTTTAAGCAATGCCTCTCTTTAGTCAAGGGTTAATACATGTGCATGCACCTTGGCCCAAACTACGTTGTAAAAGGGGGAATTGCAGGGGATAGTTCAGAAATAGTCAGAATTCCCTGATCAGAGGCAGTGCTTTCTCCAGGTGTCCCACGAGCAAGTTGCTTAGGTGTGTCATCAGCTGCAAAAGTGGGGACAGAAACCCCAAAGGACATGTTTTGAATATGCTTGCAGCTTGTGAAGAGTAATCACACACTTTATCTTGGTTTGTCTTTGTGCCTCTCAGTTCTTCTTTTGAACCCATCCTTGACTCTATATACAACATTTTGTGCTTTTGAATCTGAACAGAGACTGGGCATTGTCTGTAGGAACTCCCTGTGTCCTATCACCACGGCCTTTTGGACACCTGGTTTATCCTTTTTGGAATTCATAATAAAATAGTTCTGCATTTCTCAGTATAATTACACAGACAAGGATTTATCATTTTTAATTTTTTTTCTTTTCCTTCAAGGATCCAAGTTGAAAGCTCTTAGGAGGACATCCAGGTCACCGAGATTAGCCGCCTGAAAGAGTTCTGGTTGGTCCATCAGAGAAAGTGCGATTCTGAGGGCAGCCCAGATGTTCCCAGAGATCGCAGGATGAGGAACTTGCTGTTGATTCCTGCTCTTTCTTTGCAAACTGAGGGCAGTGAGAAAATTGCTGACCGCTTCTCTAAGAGGGTAGAAAAACAGACATTTAAAAATGCAACAAGTGTCAGAGTTAGCAACTTAAACATAAAAGGAAAATGGATTAATTTCTCTCAGTCCAGAACCCTAAATCACCTCTCTGTGGTGTTTTAGATCATCAGATGAACAACCTTCTGATTCTCTCATTATTCTTTTGTGAAAAATCATTGTTCAGTATAGTGAAACCAGAAAGAAAAAGGGGAGCACGTTTTATTTTAGGAATATCATGTGGGACAGAAAGAGTGATAGCAAAACTGCTGCTTACTCATTAATGCATTTGCTTTCCCCCTACTTCAGGGGTAATTTAAAGACTTAACCATTTGCAAATGTGATTTATATAACTAGGGTTGAAGAAGAAGCATCTGGCCCTACTCAGAAACAAGGTGGCTTAACTTATCCTATTAGTGATAGTAATATGGGAGGCAGCTGGGGCTGAGTTGATTTGTTCTCAGAACATCTGGGTTGGAATGCTAATTATTTAGCTTTAGGCAAATTTCTTATCTTTCCAAGCCTCAGTTTCCCCAACTGTATAATAGGGAGAATAGAACTAACTTTATTTTATTTATTTATTTTTTTCCTTTTAAACATATGCTTTTATTAATACCCCACCTTCTTCCAGAAGGGATTTGGGGTGTCAGCAAGTTACTTAATATCAGGGCTTCCGTTTCCTCATCTCCAAATGGACTAGATGGTCGAGGTTCATTCCAGTTCTCTCATTTTTTGACTCTGATTCTAGTAATTTGTTGGTTATCTCTACTTAGAAGTTCTGTTAACACTTCATATTTAGTGGCACGTGGGTGGCTCAGTTGGTTAAGCAGCCGACTTTGGCTCAGGTCATGATCTCACGGTTTGTGAGTTTGAGCCCTGTGTTGGGCTTTGTGCTGACAGCTCAGAGCCTGGAGTTTGCTTCAGAATCTGTGTCTTCTTCTCTCTCTGCCCTTCCCCTGCTCATGCTCTGTCTCTCCGTCTTTCAAAAATACATAAACATTAAAAACATTTAAAAACAAACCACTTCATATTTCGAATATGGAAAACAGGATGGGGGTGGGGGAAACCTACAACCGGTTCTCATGACACTGGTTTCTGTTCATGGCATCACCATCCAACCAGTGACCCAGCACCAGAACTTACTGCCATCTTCAACTATTCTGGCCCTTGTCCTGACATCTCCACCGAGCGACATGGAATCCATTTTGCAATGTCATTCCCTGACTTGGTCCTTTCCCATGGCCACATGTAGTTGAAGCCCTTGTTAGCTGTCTCTCTGTTCTGTTCTACTGAGAAGTCATTTTAAAGGTTGTTTATCTATCATCTATCTATATCTATCTATCTATCTATCTATCTATCATCTATCTATCTATCTATCTATCTATCTATCTATTTGAGAGAGAGACAGAGACAGAACGAGTCAGGGAGAGGCAAAGAGAGAGAGGGACAGAGGATCTGAAGTAGGCTCTGTGCTGACAGCAGTGAGCCCAATTCAGGGCTTGAAATCAAAAACGGTGAGATCATGACCTAAGCCAAAGTTAGATGCTTAACTGACTGAGCCACCCAGATGCCCCAGGAAGTCATTTTAAAACCTTGTTGTGTGCGGTTGGATCAATTTATGTGAAATCTTTTATTAAATCAGATCACTAGTTCTCCAAGTGTAGTCTGGGGAACTCTGTGATCAGTGAGGTCAAAATTATTTTTACAATAATTCTGAGATGTTATTTTACCTCATTCACACTTTCTCACAAGTGTACAATGGAATTGTACAGTGATTGCACGATGTGTAAAATCCCAGTAGATTGGAAGTGGAGGCAGATATGAGACTCTGTCTTCTATTAAGCAAGATATTAAAAAAATTTTTTAATGTGTATTTATTTTTGAGAGAGACACAGAGCATGAGTGGGGGAGGGGCAGAGAGAGAGGGAGACATAGAATTTGAAGCAGGCTCCAGTCTCCAAGCTGTCAGCCCAGAGTCTAATGCAGGTGTCAAACCCATGAACCATGAGATCAGGACCTGAGCTGAAGTGGGCGCTTAACTGACTGAGCCACCCAGGCGCCCCTAAGCAAGATATTTTTAAAAGTTACAAAAATGATAAAAGAATGCCACTCTTTTCGCTATGTATTTTTTGTTTTGGGGAATAATTATTTTTCATAAAATGTCTAATTTATGTTAACATGTAGTTAATTATTATTTTTAAATGAATCTTATAGATTTTCTCAGTTTAACTTCTAATGTGGTATTGGTAGATATAACCCACAGAAAAGCCCTTGGACGTTCTCGATAATTATTCAGAGTGTAAAGGGGTCCTGAGAACACCAACCCTGTGAACCTTCCAGCTCTTTCCATCCACAGCTGCTCTCTTGCTCGTGTACTCAGTGTGCCTGCTGGGTCTGTCCTCTCAGGACCACTGTCACTGGAAGCATGTATTCTGTATCAGACAAACTGGTCTTTGCGAAGAGTAAGGACACTGCTGTAATTTGTATCTGCTTTACTCTTCTTAAAAGCTTTTCACACAGTTCATCCCACTTAATCCTCCAAGGTCGTTGTTAAGCATCTGGTAAGAAGCTCTGAGGTGCGGCTGGACTTCTGATTCCAATGCACATGATCTCGGCATTGGCTCATCTGTATTGTTAGCTCTGCCTGGAAATAAAGGGCAAGTGGGAAGTGGTTGCACTGTGTGTGGTGACCAGGCCAATGGAAGGGAGTGGTGTTCTAATCATCCTCTCTTTTGGATGTTTAGTAATCAAGCAAGAGAGGAGGGTTTATAAACAGATGCACATGTGGGGTTAACTTTGGAGGCCCTTTCTGGCTTCCTTGTCACAGGATGGCAGCTCAGAAGACGAGGACTCCATTTCCTCTCCTCATCCTCGGCCCATAAGAGCTCTGGGGGAGGAAGAGCCCGGAATCCCCTCATGCACAGGCCTTGCCAGTCCCCCAGTGTGTGGCTGTGGTCTCTGAGGGACATGGAGAGTACCAGACTAGTCTACCTTGCTAACTTTGCCAGGCAACGTGAAGAGTGCCCCATGAGGATAGTCTAAATCTGTTCTCCAGCTTGGGAACACAGAGTCCTTTTGGGGGGCTCAGAAAATTGTACATATATATGTGTGAACAGTTTTTAAATGTTTTACCCATATAAGTATGAATAAGCTATTCATGTATGTCTTGACAAACAGAGTGCATTCATTTAAAAGCATTCCTCATTTTATAGTATCTTTTCCTCATTATATTAATACTAAAAATACTACCATCAAAGGGAATGTGATTTATGTTTTTCATTAAAAAGAGTCCTCGCGTTTGAAGATGTTAAGATCTTTGGTCTAAATTCTATTTTGGAGCTCCTACTGACAGAGGGGTGGCATTTTGAGCTACACCCACATTTCACGCCAACAATTTCCTTTCCTTATTTCAATTGCATACAAGACTGGGAAGGGCTTGCCTTTGACTCTTTACAGAACATGTGCAATGACAGGAGCGCCTGGATGGCTCAGTTGGTCGAGCATCCGACTCTTGATTTCAGCCCACGTCATGATCCCAGGGTTATGGAATCGAGCCTGTGTCAGGCTCTGCGCTGAGCAAGGAGCCTGCTTAATATTGTCTCTTTCTCTCCCCCTGTTCCTCTCCCCACTCATGCTTTCTCTCCCTCTTTCTCTAAAAAAAAAGAAAGAAAAGAAAATGTGCAATGACAAACAACAAGTGGTATAGCTACATACACGGACATCTGCAGTTCTTGAGGGAGAAGTTGAAAGACTCTGGTGGTTATGGAAGTATCTGAACCAGTTCGTGGTTTTTCTTCTGAGCCACGTCTCTACTGAGGGTTATTACTTCCTAACTATCTACTTATACCTCAAGTTAAACTTATTTTCAGAATTCATGTAAGGTTTATGTCTCACTTGGTGGTCTTCTTTTCTCAGGGGAAAAATGCAAAATATTTAGTACTTATCAAAATTTCTCACATCCAGCATGGCAATAAAAGACCCACAAAGCTTAGCTGAGATGTTTTGAAACTTTTAGGTAGCCATTTGATCAAGGTTGCCAGATTTGCCAAGTAAGAACACAAGATGCACATTAAAACTGAATATCAGATAGACAGTTAATAATTTTTAGTATGAGCATGTCCCATGCAATATTTGGGAAATCCTTATCCTAAAAACATATTTGCTGTTCATCTGAAATTAAAATTTAATTGGGCTTTCTGTATTTTATATGGCAACTCTGACTTACTCCTGTACAGGTGACGTTCTGCTTGAGGATTAAAAATCTACTCTCAGTAGAGTTGCCCATTTCTACTTCATGGACCTTCAAGGCCTCCTGAGAGCCGGTGCCCTACTGAGGCTTACACATTTGAGTGCTAAGAAAGTATTTGACTCGCCTCTCAAGTACTGTTTTCTACACTGTAACGAGGAGTTATAGTTAAGAAATACTCAATCAGAAGCTTTATAAAAGCCTCCTCCAGCTGAATTGAATATGACTACATGTACATACATATTTATTTACAACTCTCCTTGTTCCAAGCAAAGGACCTAGGGTATCTTATAAAATACATCTATATGGCATAGTTAGAAAGTAAGTGACTAAAGGGAGTAGAGATAAAATCGGGTTAGGAAAATCAGACGAGACCAGAGTGAACTTCGTATACAAAATAGACATCGGCAGGCATTTGACAGCTGATGTGCGAGGGGGCAGCAGAGATTCTCCGTGGCCCCCCGCAGAGCTGATGTAAGGAGGGCCCCTGTGGTCACACTCCACAGCGTCCATGAAATAAAGCAAACCAGTCACTCCAGAATCACTCAGCTATTACTGGTTTTAACCTGAGCAAGGTCCTCCTGGAGGACGGGTGAAATCCAGTGACTAATGTTCTTCTTTCTAAGATTCTTTTAGTATAAATGTAGCAACCAGTTTCTGAAACCTCAATATTTGCCAGTGGCACAGTCCCCAAAGCAGTTCAGAAACAGCAATTCTTTGGATGTCAAAAGGATGCAATCCAGTTATGTAGCTCTCTGATGACTTCTCTGAATAGACAACACTAAGGATACTGATGATGACGGCAATGATCATAATCATAATAATAAATGCTTACTACTGCTCTGTGCTAGGCAATTACATTTAACCTGCACAGTAATCCTTTGAGATAAATATTACCACTTTTTTAAGCAGGTGAAGAAATTGAGGCTCACAGTTATGTGCCCAGAATTACAAAACCAGTAAATGGCAGAGCTGTGATTTGAATCCAAGCTTGTCTGATTCTAAAAGCCTGGCTCTTTCTGAGAATGAGGAAGGGTTTACTTTTCTTGTGGGATTTAAAACTAACACTTCTCTTTTTCCCAATTATGAAAATAATATTTATTTAGAAAGTTGGAAAAGTAGAAAAATAAAGAAGGAAAAATTACCTATACTTTTATTACCTAAAAGAAATAAAGGTCATTTATGGGCCCTGTAGATGAGGAAAAATAGGATATAGGATAAAGACCTGATGACGAGGAATCATGACAGAACAAGAAAGACATTTTAAACCATAAACTCGCCATTTAAAAATTTCTCTTAAAAAAACTTTTAACCGGGGCGCCTGGGTGGCTTAGTCGGTTAAGCGTCCGACTTTCGCTTAGTTCATGATCTCGCGGTTCGTGGGTTCGAGCCCCACGTCGGGCTCTGTGCTGACTGCCAGCTCAGAGCCTGGAGCCTGTTTCAGAGTCTGTGACTCCCTCTCTCTCTGACTCTCACCTGCTCACTCTGTCTCTCTCTCTCTCTCCTAGAAATAAAAAAACATTAAAAAAAATTAAAAAAAATTTTTTAACCGTCTTTACTGGCAAAGTAGTTTTAGAAAACCTGGTTTTGTTGTGGTTGGCCAAAAACTGACCCTGGACCTTTTTCCTCTTCTCTTTTTTTTTAAAAATTTATTTCTAGGAGAGAGAGAGACAGCATGAACAGGGGAGGGTCAGAGAGAGAGGGAGACACAGACTCTGAAACAGGCTCCAGGCTCTGAGCTGGCAGTCAGCACAGAGCCCAACGCGGGGCTCGAACCCACGAACCGCGAGATCATGACCCAAGCGAAAGTCGGACGCTCAACCGACCAAGCCACCCAGGCACCCCGACCCTGGACCTTCTTAAATCATTTGTTGGTTTCCTGTCCCCTTGCCGAAAGGTTCTCTTTTTTCCTTACGTGGGAAGCGAAGGGTTGGACTGTTCAAGTTTCTCAAACAGTTGTCCTTGGAGGTGTCAATAACTTGTCCCAACCCAGGCTGACTGAACTGAAATCTCTGGGGGAGGAGCCTGGGGATCTACATTTCACAAGATGCCTCCACGGGCTGAGAAACCCTGAGGCACAATGTTCCTGCAGCCACAGGCCTCAGGACCTGATGGTTCCAACTTTCCCTTAACAAGAGGAGGAGGGTTACGCCTACAAAAGGAGGCATTTTCACCGGGAAACAATCTTTCAGGTGGGTTATTCCACCTCAGCCCTGAGGGTGTCTCCTGGTTCTCAGCCTGTGACCATACTTCACCTGTAGGCGCCCAGATTGATGCAGCTTATTCCCAGATTGTATCTAGATCGGATGAAGCCGGGCTGGATCTCCAGGGCTCGTGTGTAGGCCTCCACGGCTTCCTCACTGCGGTCTCCATTTGCCAAGGTTGCCCCGAGACGGTTCCATAATGAATAGTCCTGATGACAAAATTAGAGCTAACCACCAGTACAAGCCACAGTGATGGAGTATTCTCCTATTTCTTGCAGAAGGATAGTGGCTAAAAATTTATCCAGTGCTCATGGATAGGGACCATGACAGTGGTGAATTACTCAAACAATTTTATGGACAGCTTTGTGAAATGACTTTCATTCATCAAAGAGCAGCTACCATTTGATGCTGTCAGGCAATTCGTGTTTCTATTTTAGGTACTCAAGTATTAACAGCCACAGTAGCATATCATTAGTACTCATCATTTTAAATGATTGGGTGCAGGGAAATAAGGTGTAGTAGAAATGTGCAAAGTGTAGCCTGTGACAACTTATTTTTTAACAGAGAACCTTATGGTTTCTTGTGCACTTACCTCTGGCCGAACAGTTAAGGCAGCGTTAAAGGCATCTATCGCTCTATTAAATTCTCCGCTCAGGTGGAACAGTACTCCCAGACCTGTCTGTAGGTCTGGGTCAATCATATCTCCATTTTGGTGGGCAGCTTCCAGATATAATTCCTTAACTCCTTCCAAAACAGAGCTACAAGGGGAAAAATGAAATTTGTAATCCAAATAGTCTGAACATATATTATTTACTATTATGTCCACTGTTCCAAGAGAACATTACAGACTGGAAAAATCTTGCTTGAAATATCTTTGCTTAATGAGAGGACTATTAATACTGCATATTAAAAAATACCTGCTGATTTTCATGAAATATTTTGTCATACAAAGAGACAAGACTGTGCTAAGTAAGGTCTTCACAAGGAGAGTTTCACTGACCCTGTGAGTGCCAATGTAGAAAACCCCAGGGCTCTATGAGAAAGAATTTAACATCATGATTTATTGCTGAGAGAAACAAAACCCCTAGAAGAAAGGACTTCCGTTTCTACTCATATCTAATTCTCAGGCTTTATGAAATGTGATACATTTTGTAATTTATTTTAGGTTAATTATGTGTCCACAGCATTTTGCCTTAAATTATGGTGCTCAGTGAATGACTACAATGTGGATCATGCGTCCGATTGTTTGCTGGTTCTGGTCTCAGCACCAATCTTTTTAATCGGAGATGCTCTTCTAGCAGGATGTTGTCCTACAATCATTCTGGTGAATTGAGCTGGTGGTGGTGGAGAGGCTTGTTAATTACCCTTAAGGTGACTAACTGTGTATATGAGTGTTTACTGCCCACTGTCAGTTAGAAGGATACCTATCAACTGGAGACTTGGACATCCTCCGAGTAAGGCCTGGAGATCCTTTCTTGCTCTTCACAAGGTATTTGTACTTTGGATTTTGCTTAATCCAGTTCTTTAGAGCTTCACAGGCATCCTGCTGATGGCCGGTGTTAGTGTAACTTACAGCCAGAGCCATCAAAGCTTTCAAGTTGTTGGGCTGTAATTCTAAGCACCTGCATAATAAATAAGTAAGTAAATAAATAATAATAAATAAGTAAATAAACAAAAAGCTAATTTCACATTTTTTTCAGAGACAGAGTCTAACAGTTCTTTGGGAGATTTGAAGTCTTTACTAATTAAAGTAAAGCATGGAGAAGTTTATATTAAGCCCCTGGAAAATACCATATTTATTTATGTCAAAATTGGGACCTCAGTATACTTGTAAGAAAGTTAAAACTCATCTTGATGAGTGCTAGATCTGGTAATTTAATAAATGTTTTTTAAAAATGTTTATTTATTTTGAGAGAGAAAGAGAGAGAAATAGAGTGTGTGAGCCGGGGAGGGAGAGAGAGAATCCACACGCTCAGCACAGAGCCCGACATGGGGCTTGATATCACAACTGTGAGATCATGACTTGAACTGAAGTCAAGAGTTGGACATTTAATGGACTGAGGCGCCCCTAAATGGTTTTAAAAACTATAGAAAAGGTGGCTAATCCTTGCACAAAATTTCTTAGGACTTTATCTCACGAGGCAGGAATATCACTGTTTTAGCACTGCTCTACTATTAATATAGTAAATGTATCTTATCCACAAAGCAAACTGATTTGAGCTAACTTCGGATATCCAAAGATGAAACGCTGTCCAGCATCTTTTAAAGACGAGGGAGAATTTCGTGTTTCTAGACAAGTGATGTGGGTTTGCAGGAGGCACAGGTTAGAGCTGCTCCTCTCACCCTATTCCACTGGCCTCTAGCAGAGGCTTTTCAAGCTTTCATGTACATGAGAATCATCTGGGGAGCTGGTAAAAGGCAGATTATGTAATACAGTGGGCCTGGAGTGGGCCCAAGCCTGAGCAGGTCTGACAAACTCCCAGGTGATAATGAAGCTGGTAGTCCCTGGAGAAGACTTTGAGTAGAAACCCCTAGACAGCAGTACCTACACCAGTGCTCAGGGAGAGATTATATGAGGAGAGGGGGATGTATTAAGTAGGGAAAGGGAAAGTCTATTTGGTAGTGCTATCTTTCCAGGGTTTAAATAGGGGCTCTAATCAGGTAAAGTGTGATGCTACGTCCATCCAAAGTAATCTAGACCTTTAGTCAGGGGCTCAGTAGTGATATTTCAGGTCACTGAAACTATCCTTGGGAGATTCTCTGTAGACACGAGGAGCTAAAATTACACTGAGATAATTTTGAGTGTACTTTCTCCTGAGGAAAACCTTCAAATGCTTCAGAAGGCTAGAAAGTTAAGAGGAACTATATACTTAATGAGTTTATTTTATGACTGCTTTTGACATGGACACTTGTGCCAGTGACGGTCAACTGATTTGCAGGTGACAAAACATTGTGATTTAGGAACACCATTTCTTCATAAATCCTTGTTTCCTACAGCTAAGTGTAATACGTGGCATCTCAGCACTTATGCTGGCCAAATTCTTTACAATGTACCTAAGGGTCAAAAGAGAAATCTGAAACAACAGAAGTCCATTAACAAGTGTCCACCAGGCCCGTGAGTTTGCACTTAGCTTCATGTACCTCTGGAGGGCGACAATAGCTGCTTGTTCATTTTCATTCTCTGCCTGGGTTATCCCGAGGAACTGCCATGCCTACAAAAAACAACTGAGGTCAACATTGCAAGAGGAATCAGATTCACTCCTGTGCTTTAGATTCCTCAATGCAGAGCAACCTGTCTCAGGCGCAAGAGTCTTGGAAAAGGGAAAAATGTCACCTGCATTTTTTTATTCAAAGACTCTTCTGACACCTGGGTCAAGATCCTCTGTCTTTATTCTCCTGTGACCCATGGAAACATTTGAATATCCGAGATTTCATGATATTAGATGTCTTAAAACCAAAAGATAAACATATAAAATTATGCATTTGTGAAGAAACAGAGTGGAAAAATAACCCAGAAATGTAGCTGAAGAGTCTAAAGTTTATAGTAAGGAATCTCAAGATGTACAAAATCAAATCAGCTTGAATAAATGCAAGTCACACTGTTATTATAAAAGGTAACAGGGAATTTAGGAACTAGAGAAAATAAAACAAAACAAAATCCTCCATTCCAATGTGTTCACTGCCGTAATATCACTGTTAAAATGCATAAGGCACATATAAAATGCAATATAATATAGACATAACTTTATAGCCTACACTTATACTTTATCGTGCATCATAAACACTTTTAATGGTTTTATAAAATCGTGATACTTAGAATTTTCCATTCAAATTTTGTTGAGTGGATATTCCATTGTTTACTTAACCAATTCCCTACTGCTGTAAGGTTGCTCCCAACCCTTTGCTATTGTCAACAATGGGACAAATGTCTTCAAGCAGGTAACATTTTTCATACCTGAAATGAAAGTTTTAATATATAACAAAATTTAATATAACAAAATTCTCCCTATATACTTATAAGAACAATAATCCCATACCATTACAAGAGCATTCTACATGAGCCAAACCTCTAATTGCCTACACTGTCCTCAAGTTTGCTGGGGATGGGGATGTGTCAGAGTCTTAGGGATTTACAAAGGTTTGGGGAGTGCATAGCTCTCCCACCTACAGACATTTTAAAGCAAATGTATATGAAAATACTTAGAGTCATCCCAAAGTGCTGTAAGAATTATGTTGTTTTTTCCCATCATGGGTTATTATTACCCATACCATATTACCCAACTCATAAAAAATACTGGTTACTCCTCCCCACCCCCCAAATATCCACACTTCTCTTTAATCTTTCAGACATATACAGAGCAGCCCCTATTTTGAGCTCATCTTCCATACATTTTAGATTGATGAAACAGTTCTTCTGGGGAGGCTTCTTGCTAGCCTTTGAGCATGGTGTCATTTTCACTGTTCACAAATTGTTCATTATCTTAATTTAGAGGTCTCCAAGATTCAGAGACCCTGGGTCCTTGGTTGGGATCCATTAGTTAATCAGTGCCCTAATCTTCTGACTTATGAATCTGAGTAATAGTGTATATACATCTTTTTTTAATCTTCCAGGGTTCCAACATTTTGGTTCACAATTCCAACTCTCATTTCAATCTCATTTCACTGTCAACGTTTTGACTAAAAAGATACCAGGGCTTTAACCTAGTGATTGGTTTACTCATCCTTCCTATACAAACTTTAAGTACAGCCAATACTAACAATGAAGGCTAACTACTGATACGTCAGGCACTGAACTAAGCACTTCATTTTTATGAGCTAATTTGCTCCTCACAACACCCAGTGAGATAGTTATTGTAATCGTGGTTTCCATCTTACATATGAGGAAATGGAGGCTGAGATGGTTTACATGACTTGTCCCAGATCACATGGCTAATGGCTCATGAGTGGTAGAGCAGGGATTTGAACCTACACAGTCAGGCCAGCAGAGCCTAGAAGCTTAACCACTATTCTATGCTGCAGTCCCAGTGCCGTGTATACCCCTCCCTAAAATTTCTGTGAATTTCTTATGAGGAAGATTCCTTATATGACAATTCCTGAAAATTACTCATGAACTAAAAAAGAAGACTTAACATCTGCCACTATCTAATTATAGGCCTTTGTAGGTTTGGAAACATGTGAACCAAAATAGGATGATGGAAGCCACCCTGGGTGGTCTTCTGGCCTCAGTCTCCAGCACCTTCCACACCTCAGAGAAAGGGGGTTTTCAGTTCAAATATGCAAATCTGATTATATTCCTTTGCTGAGTAGAGTCCTCTGCTTTCATGAAGTTCAGACTCTTACCCACCTCTTCCTGCCTCCTCTCCTGCCCTTATCTCCGCTCCTCTACCTCCTGACACAATGTTTCATGCCCCACTGCCCACTCACAAACCACTGCGTCTTAACACCTCGGCTCTCCTGCTGTCTTTAATCCCTCTCCTTCAAAACTCAGTTTTGGATTTAACCGTGGGGGAAGACTGGCTTAGGATCCTTGCTCTCTGCTCCCCCGCCATCCTGTGCGTGCTCTAACACTGCATTTCTTACACCGCACTGATTTAATTCCTTGTCTCTCCACACAGAACATAAGTGTATCTTTTCCATTTTTCCAGCTCCTCAATATTTGAAGCCAGTGCCTGGCACAGTTCTTGGGACATAGTATGTGCTCAACAAGCGTTGAATGAGTAAATCAAGAGCGACATAGGATATGACTCTAGTCCTAGACGAAACTATACCCTGCCCCCTGAAAACTATTGCCGAGCCTCTAGGTTGGCAGTTTTGGTTTTTTCATTTCTTGTCCCCATCCTTGTATGCTGGGCACTGGAGACACTGCGGATTTGGTTAGAGAACAGGTGCTTATTTGTAAATCTCAAACCCACAGCACAGTAAACCAGGTTAACTCCTTTGGGAACCTTTAACTGAAGAAAATGCAACCGTGTAGAGCTCTGTGGCATCCTCTTCCCTCATTTACATGCAGTCACTTTGTGAGCCTGGCAAGATGAAGGGGATACCTCAGCATCTCCGGGGTCCTGAAGAATTGCTGCCTCCATGAACAGGATGGTGACAGGCAGGTCCCCCTCCTTCAGTCGTTTTAAGCCTTCTTCAAATGCTCCTGGCCAATCCTTGAAGGGATTTTCAGTATGAAAGTAATATCCCTACAATGCAGAGAAGAGCCAATACAAGATCCATCGATTTCTCTCTTTATTCTCATGTTCAGTAAGCACCTTTTGAATTTGACTTTAATGTTTTTATTCTAATTATTTAATTTAAATTACTGTTTTTTTCCCCTTCTATGAATGTAGCACATTCTCATTGTATACAGTTTAGATGATATTGTTTTGTTATTGAATAATATAAAAAGAAACAAAGTTATCCATAATGCCACAACCGAAATATCACTGCTGATATTTTGGAGTTTGTTTTCTCTCTGTTACTCTTTTGTTCTTTTTGTTTCAATCATTTCTCCCCAAGATTAACAAAATACAGAGTTTTGGACATATTTTTGCTAAGTGCTACTATCCCTTCCCCTGAAATATTAATGCCACACACTGTACATCTATGTATATGCTGTGACCCTTTGGAGGTCTACGAACCATTCTAATATCTGAGATTCTTTTATCTTCTTGCTCCTTGAACCAGTTTTTGCCCCATGGGGGGGCCATTCTGCCCTATTGAAAATGCATCTTTTAAAACTGTACATCATTTATCTCAAAAATTTAAATAATACAGAATTTATGAATAATGTAATATTTTAAAAATATGGGATTTATAAATAATCTAATATTTTTGTGAATATGTAAATAAATAAATATACATATGCAGTTTTATAGCTTATGCCCCATTTAGTTTTTAAAATTATCTACCTGTGCACAAACTTACTTAATCAAGCTCCTACTGATGGGCATCAGGCTACTTTCAATTTTTTTATTTTCAAGGTTATAAGGTTGCACGAAGACCTCATACTCAAATCTTTGTCTGCATATGATTATTACCTTAGGATGGACTTCTAGAGGGCTTCATTAGATTGAAGGCTATGAACTCTTTTGGAGCTCTTGAATTATATAACCATTTTTGAGAAAGTTTGTTCCAAGTTAAACTCTCATTGGAAATCTCTGAAAGAAATGATTTGTTGCAACTCTACCAGCATAAATTACCATAATATCTTCCAATTTGATAGATACAAATAAGCTAGTTTGTTGATGATGCCGTTAAGATTTTAAAATACATTAAATGGAGACCTTCATTCTCCACTGGCACTGAGAAAGACAACCCCCTTATCAGAGCCGCAGGGTACAACCAGTTTATGTAGTGGTGTAACAGATATGGGGTCCCAGGGGTGAGGAGCTCAGGGCCCAGCCGTGCCTCAGGTGCATGAATTGTAGCCTAGAGTCTGACAATCTGTGTCAATGTTTTATCTTTTTGCTTAGTTTTGATTTCATTGTGGAAAAGAGTTATTTTTAAAAGATAGTTGTTCGGATTTTGTGAGATTGCCTGGCCTATGGAGGGACAGAGAATAGTGGGGTAAGGAAGACATTTTAATGACTTTGTAGGTTGAAAATCCCCTAAGACTGGAGACTATTCATCAGCATATCCACTACAAGGTAGGCATTCAATAAATATCTGTTCGATTGAACAAATGGAAGTTATCCAGAAATGAATACTATTGAGACTTCCTCTACCATAAAAAGTCCATATGCAAACATATATATGTATATTATGTGTATTGTTTCCTCTTGAGTAAGAAAATTCTGTATTTTTTTCTATTTTTTAAATCATTTCAATTTATTTTCAGAAGTGTTTTTAAAAGCATAAATCCAAGGGTAACTGGGATATCATGGGTATTTTGGCTGGTTGTTCACTGAACTCTCACATTTGCTGGGGCTCCTATCAGGGGAATATCTTTGAAGAATTCCCTTGGGTCTTGACCTGACTGTGTGAAGGGTACCTTTTCCATGATTTTGTGAGCTGTGTGAGGACCATCTGTGAAATACAGTCCTAAGTCCCCACTTTACTCCCCTGTCCATTGATATCATCTGTTAGCTCATCCACATGGCTCATATGAATGACTGACAAAAAGCATGGTGGGGTGAGCCAGTTTTTGTTCCAACCCACCCTCAATGTCAGTCAGTTCGGTAAGGCAGTCAGGATCCAAGCTCTTGTTGACTACCAAACTGTATTAACATTGATAAAAATAAAGATATTCCATGCCAGCTTTGCTGTCTTCACACATTGGATGATTTTATTGTTTTCATCTGCCATAATTTCTTCTAGGTCAGATTGACATTAAATTGTCTGTTTCATTCTTAACATTTTCACAAAATAGTTGTAAACTGATTTATAAAAATATGATGCAAGAGGTTGAGAAAACTGGTCAGCATAGATAAGAACAGAATTGATTACCTTTTCACTAGCTGAGATTGTAACTTGGTTCTGAGCTTCTTGGTTCTCAGATATCCAGTTCCTCCGGGCCATTTCTTCCCATTCTGCTTGCATCTTATCCCAAAACTCTGTATCTGACTAGGAGATAGGAAAAATGAAGAGAGATGGATTTAAGAACATACTATGTCACTTGGGTTATTTCTAGGAAGATAGTTTTCCTCATATATCAAAAGGAGTTCTGAGGAGAAATAAAATATTCAAACTGGTCACATCCAATGATACTCATGGTTGAAGAGCTTCTGGAGGGTACTTAGTGGTCAAAGTGTTAAACTGGATTAGTTGTGACTTTCTCCAGCAGGAAAATAGTTACCATCTGAAGGACCAGGATCATATACACCAAATTCAACTAAAAATCCATTACTTGAGCAGTTTCAAGTGTGGATGGCAGGTACACATTTTAGGAAGGATGATCTTTCTTAGAGTCGCTCTCAGGATATGAGGAATTAGAGCAATGGTTTTGGGACTGGAGGGACAGTGACTTGGGGAGGCAACTGGCCATGAGCAAGGAAAAATAACATTAATTAACCCTATTCTGTGCCAAGCACTGTGCTAGGAGAAAACTGAGCCTAGAGGATGACGGTCATAAAGCTAGGATTGCATAGGATCAGAGTCTCAGTCTGGCTTCTAAGCCCATGTGCATCACCTTATGGCAAACATGGCCTCCTAGTGCTAAAGAATGAAAGAGATTGTCTTTTGGTGTGAACTTAATGAGTCCTCTCAGTAAGGGTCTTATCTATGGCAGGATTTTTTGAAAAATATTACTTTGTATTTTTCTCTTTATAATTTCCTTCATGTCTTTCAAAAGGGAAACCAAAAAAAAAAAAAAGAAACCAAAAAAAAAAAAAAAACCAAAAACAAAAGGGAAACCAGGCCATTTGCTCTCCTTTACTTCAGGGGAGGATTGGAGCAGAAATTTTCTGCAAGGTCTGTCCCTGGTTGGCTTCTATTTTGTTAAGCCTGAAGAGAGTACTTTGGGTGTCCTGGTGTAAGGGAAAAGGGGCAATTATTTTATTTTATTTATTTTACTTTTTAAAAAATTTTTAAATGTTTTATTTATTCCTGAGAGAGAGAGAGAGAGAGAGAGAGAGAGACAGCATGAGCAGGGGAGGGTCAGAGAGAGAGGGAGACACAGAATCTGAAATAGGCTCCAGGCTCTGAGCTGGCTGTCAGCACAGAGCCCAATGCAGGGCTTGAACCCATGAACCGTGAGATCATGACCTGAGCTGAAGTTGGATGCTTAGCCGACTGAGCCACCCAGGCGCCCCAAGAGGCAACTATTTTAAAGAACTTAAGAGAAGAAGGGGAAATTTTCAGGGGCAGGAAAAGAGAAGGAAGGTGGTGGATTCTGAGGTGAATGGGAGACTGGTGCAAACTGGTCTGACCTCCAAGAGTGTGCCAGAGGGTATGACTGGGGGCCTGACTTGAACTCTGATTCCCACATGGCAGGGACATAGAGAGAAACTGGATTTCAAGGAGCCACTTGGGGCTTGTCGGCTGTTAGCTGTCAGCATGACAGATGGAGTATGGAAAATCTGCCCTTGATTTCTGACACCACATCATCCTTCCATATTTGGTGCTCGCGTCAACTTTCCAGTTGGTAAGGGCGATGCTTCAATACCACTTAATTTTCTTTAAAGAAAACAAGGGATGTTTTTCCTTCAACATCTGAGTGTGGGACTGAGATGCATACTCTTTACCTGCAAATCTCACTTTCTATGATTCTAAATTCTGTGACTTGCTGACACCATCAGGGTTGCACTTCACCTTTCAGTCCTTCTATCTTACCATCTTCTCTACCCTCATGCTTGGTAGTGGTTGTTCTCTGCTGGGAACTCTTCAAAGTTGCTCTGAATGATAATTCTTAGCTTATTTCTTCAGAGGTAAACGTTCAGGGATTAAGGGCCAGCCCAATGTGATTAATCCAAGGCTGTATGCTTCTTTATTATGTCTACAGTACACCTTCCTACCACATGAATGGGTCCTGTCCCTTCAGCAGAGGCCTCCCCTTGACGAAGGCTCAGGGCAGCAGACACTGGGACAATCTGTGTCTGAGATGCTAGAAGCACATGGAATGGCCACCACTTATCCAGGTTAAGGTTAGGAATAAAATCCAACATTTCTTTTTTAACAAGTCCTTTTAGTAGAATTCCAAAGTGTGCCAACAGAATTATCTCCAATATACAAAAGCAAAGGCTTGATAATAAACTAAAAGGAGATACACTGCTGTGTTAAGAGTAATCTGTCTTTGGATGAAGGGATGATGGGTGACTTTTTCCTGCTTCATACTTTTCCACACTTTCTGAATTTTCTAAGTATGCATTGCTGTTATAAGTTTTTTAAGGTTCAAAACAACAATAAAGAAGAACAACTATCTGACCTTTGTAAATACCATAAACCCGAATTATTTAGGTACTGAGGAATTTGAAAAAAGAATTGGAGACCTGGGGGCCTGGGTTGCTCAGTTGGTTAAGCATTTGACTCTTGATTTCAGCTCAGGTCATGATCTTGCAGTTTGTGGGATTGAGCCCCACATCGGGTTCTTGGCTGACAGCATGGAGCCTGCGTGGGATCCTCTCTCTCTCTCTCTGTCCCTCCATTACTCATCCTTTCTTTCTCTCAAAATAAATAGGCTTAAAAAACATTTGGAGACTCATTTTTCAAAAATGTACGTTCAGCGTCTCTTCATAGAAACAAAGATAAATCTATCAAGTGTATTTTATAATGTTTACTGACTTTCCCAAGTCTTCTGAATGAAAGAAGAAGATTTTATAATGGGTACCCCTGGATTATAAAAGGATGCATCACCTTTCCTGAAGTTTCAAATTACAGTCGTGGATGTAGAAATCAGACTACTGTAGGAAACTGAACCTCAGTTAAGGTGAGGCCGCCAGGCTCTTATTTAATGAGATACTCCAGGACTTACTGCTACCACTTAGAATAAGTTATGCTGACTAATTAAAGTGCACAGCATAGTTTCATTTAATTACAGACGACTACTTTTAGCACAATCAATTTTCATCCAGTCTCAGAATCCAGACTTCATTCATGTAACTGCAATTAACACTGCTTCTTTTTTCTATTTCTAATCAATTTTAGAGAAACCTGAAACATATTTGAATTTTAACCATTGTAGATAGGACTGAAGGGATTTTATGTATTGATGACTTTCTTAGCTGTTCCGGGATTTTGGTAGGTTGTTTTTTATACTCTACAGGTAATAAGTTATGTGCTTGCACCAGAAATGAGCTATTTGCAATCTATTTTCATTTTTAAAAATAGCTTTCTGATTATAAAAGTGGTTGATATTCATGAAAAGCTTGGGATATGTGGTATAGTGGTGGAGAAGGGCAGCTCCCTTCTCAGATGGAACTGGGAAAAAGTGTGGCTCCATCACTAACCTTCTGCAAGACCCTTAACACCACTAGATCTCATTTTCCTTATTTTTTTAAAAAATGTTTTATTTATTTCTAGGAGAGAGAGAGAGAGAGAGTGAGTGAGCAGGGGAGGGTCAGAGGGCAAGGGAGACACAGACTCTGAAATAGGCTCCAGCCTTCTTCAGCACAGAGCCCGACGCGGGCCTCGAACCCACCAACCGCAAGATCATGACCTAAGAGAAAGTCGGACGCTTAACTGACTAAGCCACCCAGGTGCCCTTCATTTTCCTTATTTTTAAAGTGAACATATAACAGTGATCTTGGTTAGTCATTGTGAGGATTAAATGAGAAAATATATCTGTGGCATGAAGTACATGGTAAATGTTCAATAAGCGTAGGTGTGCTTATTAGTGTTTTTGCATCACTGAGAAAAATACAAAAAATAAAACAAAGATCTCACCTATGACCTCAAAGCCCAAATATACATCTATGAGTATCTTGGTGTGTTAATTTGCTGTAAATACATTTCCTCTTCTAAATACTTTTCCTTTCTTTATTTAAATCTTTCCCTTCTAATTAATAATTCAAAAATAGGAAAAAGTTAAGGGATTATGTAAAAAAAACTGTTACGTAGTAATTAAAATGGTATTTATGGAGAGTTATTACAACATGGAGCAGGCCTCGGGTTACTATGATCATAATGATAGAAAACATCAACAAATAATGTGTTGGGGAAAAAAAATTGTAGAGAAATGCATCAAAACTACTACTTTCATGGTTATGAGTAATTTGTCCCATCACCTTTCTTTGTATGTTATAGCATTTCCAAAATTTTCTATTGCTAGCATGTCACTTATTTTTATTTATTTTATTTTAAAAAACAGGTTTTTAATGTTTGGTTATTTTTGAGAGAGAAGGAGAGACAGAGCATGAGAAGGAGAGGGGCAGAGAGTGAGGGAGACAGAATCTGAAGTAAGCTCCAACCTCTGAGCTGTAAGAGATCATGACCTGGGCTGAAGTCAGATGCTTAACCAACTGAGACAGCCAGGCACCCCTATTTTTTTTAATTTAAAGTTTATATATTTATTTTTGAGAGAGAGCAAGCAAGCAGAGGAAGGGCAGAAAGAGAAGGAAACAGAGAATCCCAAGCAGGCTCTGTGCTGAGTGTAAAGCCTAATGTGGGGCTTGAACTCACAAATCTGTGAGATCATGACCTGAACTGAAACCAAGAGTCAGATGCTTAACCTACTGAGCCACCCTGGTGCCCTGCTAGCATGTTATTTTTGTGAAAGTAAGATTTGGTTAAAAAATACTTCTTTTCAATTTCAATTCCTCCATGATGTTTCTCCAAAAGACCCTACACTAGAGGCACCTCTTGTTTCTCTGAATTCCTTTGAACTAACATTCTGTATCAGTGATTAGGAAGAAGAGAGGTGTGTGCTTCTATTAACCCTGTAAACGTGAACAAGTCATTTAAACTCATCTGTACATTGTTTTTTTTGTCATTTGTAAGGTAAGAAGTCTGAATTGATTAGACAATCACTCAGGTTTCTTTGTTTACATAGATTGACTCAAAAGATCAGAACAAAAGGTCTGGGAAGCAGGCTTCTAGCTTGTTAACTGATCTCTAAAAATTATACATTAAAACATTTCCCCAAGAATAAAGCTGACATGTTCCCTTTACTTTTTGATTGTAAAACTAGA